TAAAATGGCAAAGATTTTTTGTTTAATTTTAATGCTCCATATTGGTAAAGATGGAGAAATAAGTCCACTAATTCCACTCGTCACATTTTTAACAGTTAACACATCACTCTTTATTACACAAAAGGTACTTGTATTATGCACTTTACATATGATAAAAATGAAGCAAAAAGAGGTTAACTTGCCTAAGGTTATACAGCTGGTTAAGAGTCAAATCCAATGGAGAAAATATATATTAGTATAGTCTTTCCGGAGGCAATTTAGAAACATTTCAAAAGTATATATATCCTTTGATCTAATAATTTCACATCTAGAAATTAATTCTAAGGAAATGACCCAGGATGTTCACCAGAATGTTCATCACCTGGTTGTTTATATTATCAAAAATTAGAGGAAAAAACCTTAATGTCAAATGACAGAAATATGAACAAATAAACTATGGTACATACATACACTGAAATTCTATGAACCCATTAAAAGTTTCTAGAAAAAAAAATGACATGGAAAAATATCCTTAATACTATTTAGTTATAAAACAAAATATAATATTTCATAACATATATATACACAAAGAAAAAAATGTTAACAGTTGTTGATTTTAAGTTGTGGGATTTTTTTTCTTTTTGTATTTTTGTATTTTCTACAATGATTTTTAAGTTTTATTTTCTTTCTACACATGTGTAAGGATTAGCCCCAAATAGTTTGAAAAAGGACATCTTCTGATAGTATGGGAAAATAGGTATGAATAGAAGCAGATATAAATGTGAGCATATTAGGCACAAACTCCTTTAGTTTTCTCATTAAAAGTCAATCCACACTATAATCTTAGCACTCACTTATGAAACAAAAATATGATGCAAAGAGATTGCAGCTTTTGTTCATTGTACAATGAGAATGTACTAGGTTTGCTTCGCAGGCATATTTAACATTAGATAAATAAACACAAAATGAGCTGAGCCCATATTAAAGGTGATGGAATCCTGCCTGATCATCTTCACGACAATATCACCCATTTATCTTCAATTATATATTGTGTATCCATACATCTGGGAAATTATTTAGATAATAAAATTCAAATAGCATTAATCATTAAAAAGGGCCTGATCAAAAAACAAACAAAACACACCAATCCAAAGATGAGGCATTTACTCAGGGACCAAGTATAGCACATAATTATACATTTTTACTGTGAATTTTTGACAAAGTTGACAATAGTTTCAATTTAATTCTTAGTTTACCAGCTTTGATTTTCAAAATATTACATTGTGAAACTCTCTTCTTTATAGATCTGTCAAATTGACAACATGTAGGTACACATTATGATTAGTGGTCAAAGTCTAATTAGACTGCATGACCAAAACATTGTATTTGTCATAAATACTTTCAGTATTATAAATAAAAAGCTTAAGATAAAAATTTCATGTTTTTGTCTCTTAAAGACCCCTCAAAAAAAGAAACCCACAAAAGACCTCACAGTAGTTTGTATGATGTATAATCACCTCACTTTTTAAAAAAATTATGCTGTTACTGTTCCTTTACTTTTACATAATTCCCTGGTTTAGAATACCTTTTCCTTAGATAATAGCAGAGCGTTTTTTTTCAGTTTCAGTATTTCTATCAGTGGTCATTATCTTAAATAATGAATATTTTTTATTCTATGGAAGGCTTTTTTGTTAATGTCTCAAATACTACTTAAATCACAATTGTATGTCAAACATTTCTCTTGGTAAGTAAAATTTAAATAAAAACAGGATCTGCTGCTAATCAATCATAATTTAAGAACACACTACTTGATGATACTGAAGATTTTAACATGAGCATAATTAGGAATCCTTTTGCTTACAGTTTCTGACACAGTGGGATTTTCTAATGGAGGCTGGTGATAATTTCTAGCAGAAAAGTCTGATGAACCTAATAAAACAAAGAAAAGAAATCAATTTTAGCAATTTTCAAATCAGAACCTTACTTTTAGAAACTGTATAGGCATGATTCAAGAACTATAAACTCCATGTTAATGTAAGACCTAAATTGGAAGATACTTTTCATGCAAAAAACTTAAGAAAATGAAAGTTTTTACAACTGGCATTTTGGAAAATATGGGTCAGTACTAACAATCAAGTAAGATAAGTATAAAATGTTTTAAAATATATCATTACACTGTTGGCTCTGGACAAACTAGGTAGACTCATTTGCCACAAATAAAACATGTACATGGTATAAAAGCCTGATTAACAGTAGGCCTATAATTTGCTGTACCCAAAAGCAGCAGCATTACAAAAGCATTTTTTGTTTTTGTACATATATTCATTAACTTGATCCTTACAATGACCAGTGAATTGGGTAAAAGATATGTTATCTTCTTTTTCACTGAGCTCCAGACAGGTTATGTGAATTGGAACAAGGATGCCATCAAATGGCAGAAGTTGTGCTTTTCTTCTATGCCAAACTGGATAGCACAATCCAAATAGAATGTAGAACATTTGGTTAAAAGCCCTAGTAGTGAAAAATAAGCTCATCATACAAGTAAAGTGTGCCTATCACAGATGTGAACAAGAACATTTACAAACACGACACAAAGAGAAAACACAATAGGAAATGTTAAGTTTCATTCATTCTTTCTATTCCATAGTATTCGATGTAGACTGTGCCTGGACATTTTCCTAGGGAAAACGGTCAATTTTCAAACACCTGTACAAACTAGACACAGTTAACGTTTGTGAATTTAAACATTAAAAATCTTCTAAATTTTGAAACAAAAAACGAAATGGAAATAAAGACCTTTTATGAAAATGAAAACTGATTGAAAAACTATTTGGAATCACATACCACATAATGTTCCATTCAAGCTAGTTCCTGTTCTAACAGGAAGACGTTTGTTTGCAGATAACGCTGGAGGAACACAGGACAACTCATCTTTCAGCAAAGCCAAATTATCTGGCTGATTTGTAGAAATTACTTCACGAAGCCTCTTCGCTGGTATTTTAATAGTTTTTTTCTTTTTCGGGATAAACTCAGAGCCTTTCATATTACTGCTAACAAGTCCCACAGTTCTGAATTGAATAACTTCCTTCCGGGTCCATAAAACTTCAGAATAAAATCTTCACCGCTTTGAGGACTAGGAAGGGGGTGGAGTAAGAAGCGAGGAAATCAAGAGTATGATAAAGAAAACGTGAATTCCAAGTGATTTTGAAATATGCAGTCATCAGCTTTTAAATAAAACACTGTCTAAACAGACTATTCACGAAGCTAGAAATTTTAATTGTGGCATTTAATCCAGCAGAGACCAGAACACTATTTTTACCCATTAATCTCAGTCTATTAATTCACTATGCCAATGAATCTGAAAATGGGGATGACAAGAGAATGGACGCGTTAACAATAGTAACCATAGTAACAGCATTCCTCTCCCGCGCACCCCCAATCCGAGAGCTGGCAGTGCAAAACCTCAAACAGATATGGAGGCGGAGTTAAGATTTGTTGAAAAGAGAGAGACAAGCAGGTAAAACCGAAATGCTATATTTTTTAAATCACCCACATAAGAAGCTTAATCGTTTTCTTCGGCCAAAGCGTCTTACACACTCCTCCAGATGCAACCACCGAACACCTAAATTCACCCCGTCTGCAGAAAACCGGCCAATCCCGCAGGCACTGGTATAATCCGACAACAGCTTCAGTTGCCCGCGAGTCAATACCCACCTCCTTTTAAGCCCGCCCATGAGATAGGACACGCATGCGCGCCAAGAAAATGGTCCAACCAAAGAGCTAAATGCTCCCAGGTGCTCCTCCATTTCTTTCCGGGTGGAAACAAACTCCAAACACAAAAGGCTAAAACAGGTGTGATTATTTTTAATGCAGTACGTTGCCCCACAAGACTTAAATATTGAATAAAACCCGAGCGATTCATCGAAGATCTGCAGAGCTCCGACCTAACGGGTAATACTACTCGCATTTATTAGGAACTGTTTACAGTGTAGTTCCCGGAGACCGTTAGAGACGCGAATTAAGTAAATTAGCTTTACAAAACGTTTATACAGTTTCGTGTTATTGTTGGGGAGGAAGTCAGTAATCGAAAGCACTGTCTAAAGAGACAATCACAGAAAGTAATTCTCAGGGGATTTTAGAATTATATTATGATATCGACTTTTTTCTCTAGAGTTCCCCGCGTTATAACGAATCGGCGTTGAAGGATTTCAGGGCTATTTGACATTGCCGCTCCCACGTGTTCTCTTCCATCCAGCGGCTTTGGCACCCGCCGTGACCCCGACTCTCCGCCCCCGAACTCGACTGGCAGCGCAGCCCCCCAAGCCTGTGCTGTTCTCGGAAGCGAGAGCCTGTGCCTAAGTATGATGTCTTTTCTCTGCCCTCAGAATCCCGGGTTCCCGGGCGGGGGGGCGGCAGGCCACGCTCCGGAAAGGTGGCAGGTCTCTGAATGAGGCCGCCGCATATACGTGGGGCTATGGGGGGCTGCGGAGGGCAGTGCGTCATCTATCCCCAGAGCGGTTTTGGGACCTAGCGACCGTGTCACTGCGCAAGGGTCGTAATTTGAGGCACCCCCAAACTGGGTTTGCAAAGTCAGGGTCTTGTTCTGGGACAGTGAGTTAGACAAGGCATCCACGCTTTGACCTTGAGCTAACAGGCAGGAGACCCTCGGTTAACTGAAAAATCCTTTGTAGACACAATGTCAGGGCCAGTACCCCTTATCTGATATGCTCATTTTTGAAGACGAACTACTTAGACGTTTCCCTTTACGCATTACTACAGGCTTTAAAAAAAAGAAAAGAAAGCAAAAAATGTAATCTGATATAAAAGCTAAATAAATTTTATTTTTACATCCCATCTGTCAGCTTTCAGAGAAGAAATCCTAGAATTAAAAGGGAACTTAAGGTCTCAGCTTTGGATAACCTTTTAATTATTCCTTGCAAATTATTTCTTATTTCAGTTACATTGCCCTTTTTCATTACTGGGCTTTTAGGTACCTGCTTGTTCAAAATTTGTTTTAGAATATAGGTGAATTAAAAGATACAATGACAACGTCACAGGTGTAAGAGACTCCGGAGATGATTTAACGCTCTTTTTAGGTGTAACTTAAAGATGAAAGAAAAAGTAACTTTTCTCCTCTTAGGTCTCTTAAGGTGTGAGCATAGGCACTCATTACAACGAACAAATGACTTGATTTGGGTCTTACAACCCTTTTAATATATGTCAGAACTGGGGTCCAAACCCAAATAGTCTTGCCCCCTGTACTGTACTAGTACAGTACTAGTACTAGTACAGTACTAGTACAGTACTCACATGATCATCCTTTAGGTCTTGAAGCCAGCCTTTATACACAAAGGCAGTATGCAGTGATCTTTCAAAAGTATTTCTGTTCTGATTAATGATTGCCAGTTCATCAGACATAACTTCCTAAATCTGCTACAAATAATCTAAAGTTAAAGGGATATGTAGAATCCTATTAAAGAATCCTATTAAATTAAATTATATGTAGAATCCTATTAAATTATATCAACCAAACAAGTTCAGATCAGTTTAAACATCTGACCTATCAAAAGACACTGATAGCCCTGAAACAAAAAAATTCATGGCTCATGAGATTGTTTTCTTTTTTGTTATTGTTTTAATTGTTAACATTTTTACTTATTTGCTGTCTCCCACTCTCTATACATATATACATTTTTTTTTTTTTTTTTTTTGCTGAACCATTTGCAAGTAAGTTGCAGACCTCAAACCCTAATTCTTCAGGATGTATCTCAAGAACAATCTATTACATAGCAGGATAAGATTATCACACCTAAAATGATAACACATTCAGATCTCTTCTCCAATTACCCCAAAAATGTCTTTTTAATTCAAAAATGTTTCTTTTTTGATTCAGGATCCAAAGTTCACACATTGTGTTTAGTTGTCATGACTCTTTAGTCTCCTAACTAGAACAGCTAGCTCTCTGTCCCTTTTGATTTTTAAAAGACCAGTCTAATCTTACAACTTGCTCTATATTGTGGATTTTCTTAATTATTTCCTCATGATCAGAGTCAGATCACACATTTTTGGCAAAAACACATAGGTAATGCTATGCTGTCTGTGTCTATTGTGTTTATAATGCTAGGTATAATCACTTGGTTAAGATGATGACTGCTAAATCTTTCCAATATAAAAAGATAGTTTTCCTTTTGTGATAAGTAACATATGGAGATGCTTTGAGATCATGGATATATTGTTTTCCCAACAACCTACCATTCAGTGGTTTTATGATCCATTCAGGTCCTTGCCTCAATCACAAGATTACCAATTACCAGTACCAGTCATGCAGGTACTAGGCTGCTGATAGAGGCCACGTACATCAGAAGAATCATTTACTGTAAACTAAATTTGAACAGAATTATAAATTTGGCTCCAGACGTGGTACAAATCTATACACGATTCTTTAAAAAATGGAGGACATCACATCCTGGTTAGTCTGTTTATTTTTAATATTCAGAAATTTCTGGGAATTGTCCTTGTGATATTCACCTGAACATACTTACTACCTGGAAAGATAAAGAGATTATGTATTTTTAATATATATAATAGCATAGCATGCTAAGGATTTGTAACCTCAGAATAGATTGAGGGAACTAATTTCACTTATTGAAAAGGAAGAGGTTTTTTTCTTTTTTCTTTTTCCTTATTGAGATATAATTGACACACGACATTGTTTCAAGTGTACAACATGGTTCCATATTTGTATATATTGCAAAATGGTCACCGCAGTACATCTAAGGAAGAGGCTTTTTAAAAAATGATTTAGCCAACAGAAGTTTAGATTTCATCGACTAGACTATTACAGCTTATAGGGGCCTCCACCACACAGTCATTTGTAATCCCCTCATTTTTCAGGTAAGAAATCAGGCCTCACTGGGGACAATCAAGCAAAGGTTGGACAACTGCTTTTCCAGAACAGAAAAGAAACTCATGCATCAGAAAAGGTTTGAGCTTGATGACTGATACGATCTCCCTTTACTCTTAAGTTCTCTGGTTTTATGATATATTTTCTTTGGCACAAAAATAACGGCATTGCTATAATCATTCCCAAGATCTAAGCCAGGGATTTTGGAATTCTTATCCGTTCCATTCTATCTCCAGGTTTCAGGGATGTAATCAGAAGGTAACCTCTGGTTCAATGTTTGCCTCTACGATAACAAACATTTGATGTAATATCTGGAAAACTAAGACCAAATAAAAGGGCAGCCGTATTGCTGCTACCTGTTCTCACCATCAGGTGGTTTGCTTGGCTGTTGGCGTTTGTCAGTCAGCATAATTTATGACTAAATAACTACAAGGTAGAATGCTGAAAGACTTAGAAGACACCAACTAGCAAATAAATTTGCAAATCATTTATTTAAGTAATCATCTTCAATATTTTCTAGGAACAGTTGCCTACAATTATGTATACCATAAACTTGATACAGGCATACCTCAGAGATATTGCAGGTTCAGTTCCAGACCACTGCAATAGAGTCAGTCTTTTTGCTGGTAGAGAGTCTTGCCTTCAATTTGTAAAACAACTCAACGTCTGTGAAGCACAATAAAGCAAACCATAATGAAATGAGGTATGCCAAAAAAAAAAAAAAAATGAGGTATGCCCGTATTGATGACTACAGAGAAGAGCTTTAAAATTTAGGAAGACTTAAGAAAATTGCTGTTAAGTTTGGTTATAGGTTTGGGAAGATATATGAACAATAAAATTTATAATTGAATAATTCTAGAGAAAAGGAAACCACAATGTTAACATAGTGGTCTTTGAGTAGTAGAGCTATTTCTCTTATTTTCCAAATTCTCAAGAAATAGATTATATTATTTTTATGATAAACTTTATTTCATTTTTAAGGAGGAGCTATATACTATTAAGGACTGTATATTAAAAAACAATAAAATTATTTTAAATAAAAAAATTCATACTAATACTATTGAGACGCTCATCTGCGTCTTGTCAAATAACAACCATCATTTGTCACTGAGTTGTATATTAAGAGGCAAGTGGGATAGATTCAGCTCAGTGTTACAGTCTAAAGCTTACAGAACAGTCAAAGATTTCATACTTTCTGCCTCTGACCTCTGTTCGAAAAAGTTATATGAATTTTAACCTGAAATAAAAGGATAGCAATAGAGAAAAAACAGATTTTGGCATTAGAATTAGCAAACATGTAAATTTCTAAGACATTATAAGTAAGGAAATCAGATCTGTTTTCTTTTTTAATGTGAGCTGTAAAAAGTCCAGTTTGCTGCATGCCCTCCTGAAGTACAGCAGGTATACTGTACAGCTCAGTGATTCAAAAGGTTAGGGTTTCATGGCTGCCCTTTTGTGCTTTCAGCTAGAGCCTGTTGGTAAACTAAGTTCCTTAATGCGTGTTTTATTGCCCTTGTATTTTTTCTACAAAACAATGGGTTTCATTTAATACCTATTTTCACAAAAGTTATCTTACCACTTCTGGGATCTTTTCGGGCTGTTTTCTGAATAGGAAGCCAAAAGAACTCTAGTTCTGAACGTTTGCTAACACTTATGGTAATGCATCTTGTTCTTTGGCAGGGATTAGAAAGCTAGACAGCTTCATTGTATTCTTTTTTATTAAGCTTTTTATTTGATATTATTTAGATTTGTATGCAGTTGTAAGAAAAAAATAAAGAGATCCCTAGTGCCATCTACTCAGTTTTCCACAATGGTAACATCTTAAAAAACTACAGTACAATATTGCAAGCAGGGTAATGATATTGATACAGTCAGGATACAGAACATTTGTTACAAAATTCTCTCATGTTGCCTTTTTATAGCAACACCCTTTTCCCTCCTACCCCTACTCCTACTTAACCCCTGGCAAGCATTAATATGTTCTCTATTTCTACCTGTGTTCAAGAAACACAGTATGTGACCTTTTGGGATGGCTTTTTCACTCCATGTAATTCTTCAGAGATTCATCCAGGCTATTGTGTGTCTTAATACCTCATTCCTTTTTATTGCTGAGTAGTATTCAGGTATGGTGTACCAGTTTGACCATTCACCAATTTAAGAACATCTGCATTGTTTCCAGTTTTTTTACTGTTATGAATAAAGTTTATAAACATTCACGTGCAGGTTTTTGTGTGAACATAACTTTTCACTTCTCTGTGATAAATGGCCAGGAATGCAATTGCTGGGTCATATGTTATATATTTAATTTTTTAAGACACTGCTTTACCAGAGTGACTATCTGTTTTTACATTACCACTAGGAATGTCAGAGTGATCCAGTTTTCCACATCCTCACTAGCATTTGGTACTGTCACTATATATTTTTTAATTTAGCCATTCTAATAAGTGTGTAACACTCTAGCATTGTGGTTTTGTTTGCCTAACAGGGTAATAATATAGAACATCTTTTTATGTGCCTATTTGCCATCTGTACTTTCTCTTACGTAAAATGCCTTCTAATGTCATTTGCCATTTTCTAATTGGATTGTGTTTTTATTGTTGAATTTTGAGACTTTCTAGTTACTAGTTCTTTGTCAGCTATGTAGTCTGCTTTTGATGTCAGGTCTAAGAACTCTTTGTCCCAAATGTTCATTTTGAATTAATTTTTGTATATGTTGAAAGACTGAGTTTGAGGTTACATTTTTTGCTTATGGATGTACCATTTGTTAAAAAGCTTATCCTGCCTTCACCTTAATTGCTTTTGCATGTTTATCAAAAATCAGCTGGGCACATTTGTGTGATTTTATTTCTGAGTTCTCTATTTTGTTCTGTTGTGTCTGCCGTTCCACTAAAACCACATAGTATTGGTCACTGAGCTATATAATATAGTCTTGAAATCAGGTAGATTAATTCCTCCCACTTTATTCTTCTTTCAAATTTGTTTTAGCTATTCTAGTCCCTTTACTTTCCATATAAATTTAAAAATAATCTTGTTTGTATTTTCAATTAACCTTACTGGAATTTTAATAGGAATTGCATTAAGCCTATCTATCAGCTTTGGGAAAATTGACAATCCTTACTATGTTCAGTCGTCTAATCCATGAATGTTTTCCAATCCATAATCTGTCTCTCCATATATTTAGGTCTTGGACTGCTTTCATCAGCATTTTGTAGTTTACAGCATATAAGTACTATACATGCTTTGTTAAGTTTAGCCCTATATCTTACTTTTTTTTTTTTTTTTTGAGTGATTGTAAATGGTAATGGTTTTTTACAAGGTAGCAAAGCAAATTGCCTTAAACCTGGAGATTTAGATAGACAGGGTCTTTGGGTCCCATAGCTAGCAGTAAAATTTTTAATTCTAAATTTTCTGGTTCTTTGTTATCATTAATGACGTGGTTAGATATTTATAATTATATACATGGTTAGATACTTATAAAATATGAACAGTAATTTCAGATAGACTTGTGTCAGTTCTATTTCATAAACTTTTCTAGTTTTGATTACCTAACTCTTCAGCTAGCCTAAAAACATTCGTTTACAGATTGACAGACTTTTTAAATTTTTAAAACAGGTGACTAATAGACGTACCAAAAGAATATGGCTGCACAAATGCCAGAGTCTGATCAGATAAAACAGGTAAGGCTTTATAATTAAGGAAAAAGCAGTTTGCAAAAACTTAAAGGCACTTACTGGATGAAACCATATCAATCAGCAATCTCACAAAATAACTGTTTGTATTTCATTCCCCAAAATTGGTATTAAATAACAAAGCACATTTATTTTTCAGATAATGTGACAGATAATGCAGGAAAGAATAAATGTTTAATGAGAAAATTTCACTATATTTTATAGATCATATTACATAGATCATATTATACCCATTTAAGTTAGCAAAAGAACTTTTGATTTCTAGTATTACAGGATATTTTGCCTAAATAAAAAACATCAGTAATTAGTTTCAAAACATTTTTATTTTAAAAACCAAATATTAAAGAACTTTCTGATGTGTTTGTAGTTTAAGGAATTTCTTGGAACCTACAATAAACTTACAGAAACTTGTTTTTTGGACTGTGTTAAAGACTTCACAACAAGAGAAGTAAAACCTGAAGAGGTAAGAAAATTCTAAAAATTCTCTTAAGCTCATCATAAACAATATCAATGGGATCCTCCTAAGCATTTTGCTTGCTCCTAGTTATTACAGGAATTTCAGCTACCTTTTATGTTCCATTGCTTGGAGAAACTGAAGCAGCCACAGACATTGAGTTTAACAATGACAAATTTAATATATGACAGTCACATTGAACCAAGGCAGACTTTTTAGAAAAGATGCCTAGGGCTTGCTGAGTTATTGTACCATAGTAAATACTACTAATTAGCTTTCAGTCAAGATGTCCTGGCTAGAGGAACCTGACATGGCTTTTCTATCTGATCTTGAGAACTCAGGTTAACTTTGGGAAAAGCAGAGCTTGAATTTTAGTGGCTTATTTTACATAGGTGTTTTCTGAAAATCCAGTCCTTTTGGAAATCATAACTTTCAATACCACCAAACCTTTATATATTGGCTCGAAGTGACATAACTTCTTCCAGTGAAAGATACTGATGGACATTCATGCCAAGAGTTCAACACATAACCAGCAATGAATAAGTACTTATTAAATAAATGACAAAGTTTGATAGCTGCTAAATGTAATACTCTTCTTGGTAAAAAGTAAAAGGTTGAGAATTAATGTTAAGAATGGAGTTTCCCATTAACAAGGAACAAACTTGCTACTGGGTCTACATTTTAACAATCAGAATAAAGGGATGGGAATGTGGGCTTTCAGTTAATATTAAGACATATCTGCAGAAAATCTAGTCCAGCTGGCAGGGGCTTACTTGCCATTGTTCTTAGTGCCTGCAAACTCATAGGCATTCAAAATGTTTTAGTTCTTGTATTAACAGTTGAAAGCTATGGTCACTTGGAACTCATTAATACCATTTAATTCTCAGATATAGTCAAAGAGAAAAAGTACCTACTGGTCGTTCTTTTAGAATATATGCATTTTTTTAAATTAAGATTTTTGTGTTGCCTCTTTGATCTTTTTTTATTTCTAGACCACCTGTTCAGAACATTGCTTACAGAAATATTTAAAAATGACACAAAGAATATCCATGAGATTTCAGGAATATCATATTCAGCAGAACGAAGCCTTGGCAGCCAAAGCAGGGCTCCTTGGCCAACCACGATAGAGCAGTCCCGATGGATGGACTTTCCATGAAAGATTGCCAACAGCTGTCGCACTGGAAATGAGGATTCATCTGATAGAATCCCCTGAAAAGCAGTATCCACCATGTTAAACCATCTGTCATGACTGTTTGGCAAATGGAAACCACTGGAGAAACAAAATTGCTGTTTACCAGGAATAATCAAAATAGAAGGTCTTATTGTTCAATGAAAATAGTAAGATACAACATTTGTTGAGGCCTTAAGATTCAGCAGCTTAGTCACTTGATTAGAAAAATAAACCATTGTTTCTTCAATTGTGACTGTTAATTTTAAAGCAAAATATGTGTTCAATCATGTATGAGATAGAAAAAATTTTTATTACTAAAAGTAAAATAAATGGAAGTATCACTGAGCAGTTGTTTATACTATATAGTACCATAGTATTCTGACTGGACTGTGGATACGTTGAAATATTTTCAATCAGGATCATCCTCCAAGCATTCCTGTTCATTCATGTCTGCCTCAAATTGCTGGTAAATACATAAAATAGTTACTTGCTGATCATTTCAATGCACGATCATTTTCTTGCCTCCCTTCTTGTGTCAGGGTGGGCATTACACATTTTCATATATTTCAGGAAACAACCCATCTGAAACTAGCATGAGAATGTTTAAGAGTTGATTGCTATGCTCTAGTGGAGTGTGTTGTTTTGTGTTTTGTTCAAAAGCTGAGAATCAACATGAATGATTCTGAGTCGGACCAATAATACAGTGTATTCTCAGTGGTGACATGTGATCTGTGTAATAAACTGAACCAAAGGTAAAGTAATGTCTTATGACTAAATGGATCTGAAAACAAATCCAAGCATTTTCATAAATTCTAGTTGATGCATAAGCATATCAAGCAGTTTGATAAATGTAAATGGAATAATACCTATAAATAAACTAGCTGACGAATGGATTTCATTTGATACCAACCTAAACTTGTACCTAAGAGAATACTAATTATCCCATAGGTTTAAACTTACCAAAGTGATTTCTATGTTTTGACATATTAATGGAAAGTAGAAGTGTTCTACTTTGGTAGTTTGCTGTTCTTTATATTACATCTAATTTTTAAGCATTAGGTCTTTTAATTAACAATACTATTTAACTTAAAGGCCTCTGTTGACATTACAATCAATAACTGTGATATCTTTGAACGTAAAAAGACAAAATATTAACAATGCTATCCTTTAAATCAAACTTGAAAAATGTATAATACGTTACAAAACATACAATTCATTATGGTCAAAGAACATGAAAGAATTGGCTTGTTTTATCTTAAGGTCAGAAAAGCAAACAAAAATAAAGAGATTTTACTCATTTAACTTTGGGCCATTCACACACACACTTTGCTATTTCTAAGTAATCAAGCCTAACATGGTTATTTATTCTTTTCATTTTACAAAAATAAATATGTGCTTACCTGGCAAATAAGGGGAATTTTTTGCAACAGCATCTCAAATACCTTGGGAGGGAGAGTGTGTTTAAAAACCTTCAGAAGTTCCTGTGGTTGTCCACACACTAAAAGAGCATTGCTGAGATGTTCAACCCCCATTCTGTGCTCTCCTGAAACAATAAGTTCAGAGCAAAATTTTAAAGTTCTACGAATTACCAAAACACCAAGAATTAAAACTTAAAAAGCATATCAAGCTAAAGACTACATAAACAAGTCTCAAAGTGTAGAAAAGGGAGGGGAAATCTTGAACTGCTGAGTAGATTCACTGTGGTCAGCTGAAATGTGACTATATGACCTAAATTACAGTAAGTGTACCCTCACTGTTTTAAAGTTTTCTTGTTTTGGAAATGTCCATGCTCTGCAATTTGGGTATGTGGGTGGGAGGGTGGGCTGTACTGAGTCTTTTTAAAGGTTGTGTTCTGTTATTGACATGAGGTAGGTTATCTTTACATGTGTGACTGATAAATTATAGATGAAACATCTGGCTAAATGACACTTTTTAAAAATAGGTTTTATTGTCAGAGTTGAAACAATTTAGTGTGACATGAACTATAGATCCAGGAAAAGAAAATAAGAGATTTATAAACTTTGATTTCTAAAGTTTTAAAATGAGTTTTAGGATGATTGGCTGTAAAGTAATTAAGGATGAAAATCTGTGAAGAGTGGAAATTAATCAGAATTTCTGTTTAATTTAGAACATGGAATAATTTAGTCTCACTCTCGCTTTAGGAAACAAGCAAAGATCAGTAAAATTAAGGTTTCAGAGCTAATGTCAGAATTAGTCACAGAAACTAATCTGAACCTTGAGACTACATTGTGCTGCCTCTTTTCGAGTGTTACATAATAACAAGTTTTAATATAACTAGGTAGGAAATAAAATATATTTCTCTACATTTAAATATAATATTAGATTCTTAAGAACAAATGAATTTTCCATTTGTTGGTTGAAATACATGGCCCTATGAAGACAGGGGCATGGTGGACCAAAGAAATGCTTTCCAAAGATTTGTATTAAACTGAAAAACTAGGAGAAAGACATGACCTAACTTAGATACATAGATGAAGGAAGCCTTGTCAATATGATGTAGGTTTTAAGACAAAGGTTTATGTCTATAGACACCTAATTTTATGTTTTCAACATAAGAAATTTTCATTGCTGAGTTCCTGTTTAAATGCCTAACTTTTCTTAGGCATTGAAAGAAGCTATTTCTTAGACGAAATACTTACTAAAAGGTTTATTTTAATAAAATTACAGATATGTAGAAATGGTATATTAAGTCAAAAAACTTTGTATTGAACCTTTTAAAGAAAAAAAATATAATAATGCCTGCTCTTAAGTTGATGGAGCTAATGTGATACAAAACCAGTAATCAACAGAGTCAATTAAATCATCCAATAAATTCAATCAAATCAGCTAATTAGAAATTTCAATCAAAATTATTGGCTCTATGGTCCCATATCAGCATAATTACAATTGAGATGATTACAAAACTATACTACCTGAGAGCAAAGTAATGAAAATTGGTGTCAGCAGCAGAAGGGAGTGGAGAAAATTGAAAAAGATTGCAGAAAACCAGGTGAAAAATTATTGCATTAGAATACTGGTTCTCAATGTAGGATTTGTATTGTAACAACCTAGGGAGGTTTAAAAAATACTGATACTTCTTGGGTCCCACCCCCAGAGATTCTGATTTAATTCGTTTGGAGTTTGGTGGGGATTTAAAGACTAAGCAACCAAGATTGAGAATTGCATTATAAATAAAATACAGTAGAAGTACATAACCCTTAAAGAGCTAATTAATCAGTTTAAAGATTCACAGAAATAATGTTAACATGTTTGAGAAGGAAAAGCTTAAAGCCACAAATTTGCAATTTTTTAAATCATCTCAAGATCTGTAACATTTATCCCAAGTCTAAACTAATACATGATAGCTCTTAAACAGTGAATAAAAATACAGTGTAATAAAGTTTTTTCTTTTAATATTCAGAAATTTCCATATTTATACTATTGTAATTCAATAAATGTTAAAGCTGAAAAGATTCTGTTTTAATTGTCCCTATCTCTAGGGACTACCCATATCTCTGGATTAATCCAGATTTTATGAGGCCCTAGTTTATATAATTTGGGGGTTCCTGTTTAAGAAAAAGAATATAAAATTATGAATACGAAATTGGTAGGACCCCTCCCAGTGCCTTCAAAGAGGCCTGTGTAAATGAAGGTCCTTAAAGGTTATACTTGTGTAACCTTGTGTATACTTGTGTAAAGGTTATTACCTTGTGTAAAATCACTCCTGTTTATATCATTTAAGTTCTAACTTCATTTTGTCATTAATATTTAACAGATTTTACTCCACTTATAAAAATACCTAAAAGATTAGTAAAGAATAAAATGCTAAAATTTCAAATTATGATTAATGTGCAATGATTATGAATGCTGCAATATTAATTTCTCAAAAACTTTATCATAGTATTCAGCCACTGAATATAGTAAAAAATTTGGGTATTGCTATGATCTGGACTTGCTCTTTGTTTTTATAAATCCTGGAGGATGCTACCCTCTTAAATGCAGGCTGAAAAGCAAAATCTTTTGTAAAAGGACAATAAAAAGAAAAACAGGTACAGATACTGTGATATGCAAAGGAATTTGCAATGCTTGAAAAAAGATACATAAATGGGTGTAATTTTCATTTATCCAGTAACATCATTTATCCCTTACATAAAAAGCCTCAAAAAATTTTTTTACTTTACAAGGTTTAACATCAAAATAAAAACATGATTATTACATACATACTTATATAATACCGATATTATCTACCATCATTTTACCTGACAATATTGTGAAGTTTTCTCAAATCTATCTGGAATTAGATGGGGAGAAATTATAATTCAAAATACAGGTCAGGACCCTTAAATGCAAAATAGCTCCTACAGGCATCACTATATTAGATCAATAATGGTCATTCGAAATAATTTTATCAAAAAGTATTTTATTAAGAATAAGAAGGCAGGAAATTTTTTTTTTTACATTTTGATTCATGCAAATAGTCATTTGTAAAATTCATTTACTTAGAATTTTACCTGACAGTAAGGGGGGTGTTCTTGTATCTGGCTTTGCTTCTCCATCTGCCCACTTTCAAGACTGAAACATAAACTGGAACACTATAACCACTGGAGCTGGGCAGTGTGATGGAGTGAAAATGCTAGGACAGTTTCTCTTTAAACTGAAGCAAGTGGGTTAACACACCTAGCTAGTAAAATCATTTGACATACAAGTAACAATCAATGAATATTCTTAAACATAAATTATCACTAACAACTGCTTACAGAAGAATGTTTATATTCTTACCTCTAGATAACCAAAGTTCTCCCATTTGTACCTCTTGCAGAAAAAGTTCTTGCAATTTTTCATTTTTTGCTGGATCCCACAACTAAAAGATTCACAAAATATTTAACAATAAGTAATGAATGTAAGGGATTTGGTTACTGATCAAAATTATTTAATTTTTACTTTAAAAAGCACATTTTGAACCTAGTCTCGAAATCCAAAGCATGACTAATTCAGTTGTTCTTTATAATATTTAAACCCATTTCTTAAAATGGAGTTCAGTTTCAGGCAATAAAAAATACATGGCATAGTCAAGTTAGGTTATAGTGCTTGTAATAACTCATCTGTATTTTACTCAGCTAAGTCTACAAAGCAGAAGTCCTACTGTAGTTAACTATAACAAAGGTAGCTTTTTATGTTGCAAAACTATTTTTTTGCCTGGGATATTAACATCGTTTGTTGATTTGGGCACAGGGTATGGTGGGGGTTGGCAGGGCAGTAGGTGTTGTTCAGAAGGCTGCTATCGTTTGCTGCAGCCTGCTTCATGAAGGTGAAAGGTCACAGGATGCCAGCATCACTGGTACCATGGACAGGGCTAGTCTTTAAAGGTAGAGTGGGCAACCTCTAGCCCAAAATATTAACTATGAACTCCACTGCCAGTCACTTCAGCTTTAGTCTGTTACATCTGGGGGGTGGAGTAGGGGGGGAGGAGGTGCACTGAGTTTGTTTTCCCATTTTTAAAATGGAATAAATCTGGGAATGGGATCATATTCTAAGCTTTTATTGGCAAACGTCCTAATGTTTGCTAACCACCACAAGTTTCGTTTGACAGATATTTAGTGAGCACTAGTGAGAGCAGTTCACTCCAGGAAAAGCTAAAAAGGGAAGGAGACCAAGTCCTCTGTGCCCATCCCCAAGGAACCCAGAGTCCAACGAAGGGAAAGAACAAGAATGCATAAGGTTAATAACACATTAACAATGAAGCCTAATGTCCTCTATACAGGGACAGTAAATCTATTTGGGGAATCAGAAAAAGTGTCTCAGAAAAAAGATAGCATTTGAGATGTGAAGAAGCTCAGTGAAAGTCTGACGAAGCAATGCAAAATTGCAGGCAAAAAAAATCAAGTGATCTTTATTCAGCTGGATTATGAGAGGGTGAATGTAGCAACAATTATAATTACCAATTACTGAAGGCCAGCTATGGGCTAGGAACTTTACATATATTATTTCCAACCCTTAGAAAAATAAGGTTGTCAATACAGAATGCACCCATGGAAGGCTGTGGTACCAAGCTAAGAGAGTTGGTCTTTCACCTGCAGAGTAGGGAGCTACTACAAAGAGTTCCACATTCAGAGCTGCAGTTTAGAAGGTATTTACTCTGACGGTATAAGAGAGGCAGGGAGACAAGCTAGGAAATTATTATAATAGCCTAGGTAAAAGGTATTACCTATTCAAGCCTGAAGTAGTGTGGAAGCAGTGGAAATAAAAAGAAAATAAGATATGAGGTAGAGCATAGAAAAACAAGAATTGGGGACTGACTGTGGAGGATGGAGTCAATATTTAAGTAAAAGGGTCACAGTATCAGGGTCACAGTGTCATGAGAAAATCGGAGGAGGTGCAGTGGCAATGGATGAGATGATAGATTTATTTATGAACATGCTAAGATGAGATGCCAATAAAGCATCTAGGAAATAGGCTAGTAGATGAAATTCGGGACCCTGGGTCTAGAGCAGTACACTTGAGATCACTTGTAGAAAAGGGAAAGACTTTCAGGGGGATGAGGGAACAGTGCCGAATCTGAGTGCAGTGTTTCACAAAGAATCAGTTGAAGGAGTCATTAGAACTGCAGTTTCTTGGGCTCCACCCAGACCTACTGAATCAATCTCTAAGAGCAGGGCCAAGGAATCTGCATTATTAACAAGCTCCTCAGGTGATTCTGAGAAATTCGAAAGCCTGAGAATCCTGCCCCATAGCCCCTGGTTTACCCCTGACCTTTCAAATCAGAACTTCTGGCACCTACTCTATATTTTAACAAACCCCACAGATAAATCTAACACAGATGGTCCATGAACCATACTTAGGAAAACAAAAAAAGGCCTGTGGGAAGAGAGATCCTAGAAGATGTGAGAAGAGACATCTCTCTGTGCCTTGCTTTACTCGTCTATAAAATTAGAAGACTAGAGTTTTCATGGGGATTAGATAAAAGAACATTTGAAAAATCCTACTCCTGCCTCTTCCTCATTTGAAATAATTCAGATCTTCATTATTTCCCAGCTGGACTGCCACTGACTGATTTTCCTGTCTTCTTCAACTTCCCTCCTCCACCCTATCCTCCAAAAAAAAAAATGCATTCGTTCTCTTAAATAAAGTCACCATCATTATCTACCACAATAGAAAAATATCCAAACTTTCCAGTTTGGCATTCAAAGCTCTCCACAATAAGATATCAAACTACCGCTTAGCTATCTCTCTACCACAACACTCTTTAAATATTAGAATATCATGGTCTGTGCCTCTGTACAAACTGTTTTCCTCTGCCTACTAGGCACTAAAGAGACAATGGAGAGTAAAAAACAAAAACAAAAAAACAAAAAATGCCTTCACAGAGTTTACTCTAAAAAAGAATAGCATTAATCAAATAATCGCATATACTATATAACTACAAGCACAGATAAGAGCAATGGAGGAGGGGGAAGTGGAGCCAAACCAGGCTCTGCTCCTGTCAGGTGCCAGTCCTTGGCCTGTTAGGAACCGGGCCACACAGCAGGAAGTGAGCAGCAGACTAGCGAACGAAGCTTCATCTCTATTTGCAGCCACTCCCCACAGCTAGCATCACTGCCTCAGCTCCACCTCAGATCATCAGGCATTAGATTCTCATAGAAGCACCAGTCCCTGGCGCCAAAATGGTTGGGGACCGCTGCTCTAAGTGACTCCATCTTGAAACCCCAGAAATCTCTTTGACTCCTGCCTCTCCATGACATTTTAATCCATCAGCATGAACTATCTATTCTTCTTCGACAATTTATCGCACATCTCTCATCACCAGTTATCAGTGACAGCACTGCAGTTCGGGACTTTTATGACCTCTCACCTGTACAGCTGCAATAGCTTGTCCTTTCCTCCAGTCTACCCAGCACACAGCGAGCTGCCTGATCAGTCTAACCTAAAACATTTTTTTTCTTTCCTTCTTTTTAAAAAATGCCTGCTCAAAAATGGTCAGTAATTCCCCCATTGAATCTGAATTCCTTATCATGGACTCAAAGGCTTACCTAATGCAACTTCTACTTTGCTCTCCAACCTTAACTCCCCACATGATTCCTTTGTCAAAGTGATCTACCGAATGGGCCTGGCAGATCCCCCACTTTGCACATTTACGTACAGTGCAGTTCCCTCTGTCCTGAACGTTGTCTTCCCTGAAACCATGACCCACATTTAACACATCCTTCTAGGCTTAATTCGGTGCCACCTCTCCTCCAAAGTCTTCTGTGAAGCACTCCATGTTTCAAAAACAGCCACTGCAATATTTCCAGTCCCACCTGCACTTCTAGGACCTTGCCTCCCCTATGGAGAGGTGGAGTCTATTTCCTCTCCCCTTGAAACTGAGCAGGCCACAACACTGCAGAAGTGGCCAGCGTGAGCACACATGCACACATGTGCACACACACAAACACAAATACATACTTGCCCCTTTGGACCCAACCACATGCCACATGGAGAGGGCATGAGTAGGTGTTCTAGCCAACAGTCCCAGCTAAGTGGACAGCCATCATCAACTGCCCCACATGTAAGGGAGGGAGCCCTTCAGATGACCCAGCTACTAGCTCTGGAGTCAACCTGACTGAAGTTGAGTGCATCAGAAAGAGCTAACCCCACCCAGCCCTGCTCAAATTGCAAATTCAAAAGCAAAAGAGATACTGTTTTAAGCCACTATGCTTAAAGCAGCAATAGGTAAGTAGAACAACCTCCATGATAATGCTGACCTGAAATGATCTGCCTCCTCTAAGCTCTTGTTACATGGGGGTTATTCTTCCCTTATTGCTAACCTCTGCCACAGCTAGGATGATCTTCACACATAGGAGGCTTTCAAGTAGGTGTTGGCCGACCAACTGAATAAATGAACGTTAAGACTTAATTCTTCCAGAAAATTCATAGAAGAACCAAAGAACTCTCTGTAGTACTTTTAGAGCCAATGTGAGTTAAGTTGGGCCCATCATCAAGATAGATGACTGTGGCTGATATCTTTAAAAATGATTAACCAAATTTCTCTTTGGAGTAAAAGAGGATATGTTCTGCTTCTGAACTAGAAGAAAGGCCCTAAAGGACAGAAGTGGGCGGTGTAGGAGCACTGCCATGGGCCATCGTGGCCGGGCCTGGGTGTTTAAGTGTTTGGCGCTTCTCTGGTAGGGGAAAGACTCCTTTGCCTTCTTTCAATTAAAAGAAGCGCCTGTTCTACAGTATTTATTGTATGGCTGCCTTTTCATAACCCCAGATGGTTTTCCTTTCTTCCCTTTTGTAAGCGACATTAAAAACTATACCTGGACAGAACGAACATAAGCGGGGCAAGGGCAGGTGCTCAGACGCGCCTGCTCAGGAGCGGGCCAGGAGCCCCGAGCCCGATCGCAATGGGCGGGGAGGTTACTCACTATAACGCCACCTCGGCGTCGCTAAAGCACTTCACCTGGGCGCACGGTCTCTCAGCCTTTTGCTGCTGAGCTCTCCTTTCTGCAAACACAGAGTAGCACGTGCTGGTTAGGAGCCATCCCGACGCCGGCCTCGCCCAGT